ACCTGATGTCCTGTCTTCACCGATTCCTCTGCTGATATTTTGGTCTTCGCCTGTATATCTTTGTCCTTGAATTATTTCACTGTTGTTCCAATCTTTTCTTTAATGCTAAGACTGCCCGTTAACTTTAACACCTGATGCTTCGAAGATACACGTGTACGCATATTGCTCTCGGTAGTCTTAACTGTACAGGATTTTGAAAAAGAAGGGTGAATTCAGTGATTATTTTAACAAAAAAAATAGATGAGTCATTATTCCTTCAACCGAAGAAATATAGGAGGAGACCTTTGCAAGTCGTTTACTTGGTATTCAACTGCTCTCCATAGGGGCACTGTACAACGGCCATTCGAGGGCAATATCAACAAAAGAACTAGAACTTTTATGAAATAAGAGGTGTATAGCGATTGCTTGAAGTTACGAAGGTCATCCTTATTGACTTGGAAGTTACCAGCAATGTTATGGTCAGTTTCAATTGCCGACTACCAAATTTTCAAGAAAGAAGCAGTTATTTCGCTGTGATGACGAAAACGAGATTTGGAGTGGCCCTTAAAATCCCTGACCTTAAAATTACTGCATGTCTAGTGTGAACTTGGATGTCAAACTTGGATCAGCTGAACACGAAATCAAACGCTGCGTATAACCCATCTGCGTGGAAGTATTAGATATTAGAAGCAAATGCTAATTCCGTATTAAAATATATTCGATGACGTACCAGAGATTGATGGATCAGCAGGTTGGCATAGTAACCTGATGGCCCTGGGCGCGATCATCCGTAGGGCAGTCGGGTGGCGGGAGTAACACTGAAGAATTCCGAGCTGGTACTGAAAATGAGAGGGATCTAGGTCCTTTTAATATGTTTCTTAAGATAGTTACTATCGGCAGTTTATAACGGTACATATTGTTTAGTAGTACATACTCATTAATCCATAGTAAGCATGCAAAATGTAAGCTAAATTTATTGCCAAATGTCGCCTTCATTTACCATTTTTAGTTACAATCTCTTATCACACAACCGTTTAGGACAATATTTTAATTTTTAATTTTTTTTCTAATCTTTAATTTGATAAGCTGATGTGATATGACAATCTACATTGATAATATATTGTGCATCAAACCTCCAGTTGTTAGAGCTTTCTTCTCATCCATCTTAAAGTTGTGCTTTTTCAACATATCAACTTTTGATAAGAAATTACAATACACTCAAAAGAGTTTGTATTATCTGATGTCAGTAGCAGAAATTTCAAATAACCTTTGTGAAAAATTCAGCTTGCATTATCGTGACAGTATCTTATGAATATAAATTACTACCTACAGTATCTTATGTAAAATAAAATCCTCTTTAAATTTATTTAAAACTGTCATGTTTTAATTTACAGATATGAAGGTCACTAGGCGATATCTTACTCATGATATGTGATTGCTGTCTTGAAAAATCAAATGAGGTCAAATAAAAGATGATTTATATAAATTGTCCTTATATAAATAATTGATAGCATAAAACATAAATTTATATTACTGTAACAAAAAGAAATAAAATATATATGTGAAAAACTAAAATGGGAATCGTGGATACATACAGCGGAAAAAGGCTAATATCATTCAACATAGATGCTTTTCCACGAAGGTATATCAGTAAGAGAACTATCAAAAGCTAAACAGTGCTTGACACCAGTCTACAACGGAACATATTTTGAAATCAATCCAGTCACCGAAAGCCTAGATTACTAATATCATTCATTAAAAAAAATAAGTCCAGCTGAAAAGTTTTCTATTGGAAGCAGGTTTATGCCAACAGCACACTTTCTACGAAAATGTCTGTGAAATAAGGCGGACAACGGTCAGAACACGGAAAACCATCTACGTGATTGTAATTCACAGTTAAGTTAATGACATAAAAATAACAGTCAATTCATTTTTAATTTCTTTAAGTAATATTAAGGCTTTATTCTGAGAAATGCGTCCACATATAGGACAGAATTCTCTGCACGTATAGTTCAGCGAAGACTTTCCTTTTGGCAAATTTATTCACTCAGCTGTACAATCGCAATTAATTATGCTTATTTTTGTATATGTGTACACATTAGGTTTGTCTGATAAGAATAAAAAATAAGTTAGGGCAATTGGTATCAATCAATACATTTCAAAAAAGGGATGAATAATCAAATTGTAACTAGGGAAGGTGAAGACTGATAAGATGGTAGTGGTAATGCGTTGTCGAAAAACATAGTTACTAATGTTAGTCAAGATACAAAAGAAGTTGAATAAGCGTAATAAAGTTACGCAATAAGATGAATTGTCTAGTGAGTGAGTTGTGACTGGGATGCGCATAGAAACAAAGGAAAATATGGAATTATGTAGGAGTTCTAAAAATCAGTCAGAAAAAAGAAGCACATAAGTCAGTAGAAGCCAACATGATTGTTACCATAATGGTAGAGGCGGTTGGAATATTTTCTTTTGTATGCATAAATCTGGCTGTATTAGGAGTGCGACAATGGAAAATCTCGCCAAAACCAGTCATTACATCTCAAAAAACACCTCCTTAAAAAGTGATCTACAAAGTGAAGAACAACCTACAGAGGCTATACGCATTCGTCTCCTTTGTACTGCTGAAGCCGTAGCCATTCAGTTGGAGAAACCAGAGTTATGCATACAGAGGAAAATCATTCAACCACTTCTATTATCATGGTAACTACCGTGTTGACTTCCACTGACTTGATGTTTGTGTGCTTGTTTTTCTAACTCCATATAACATTCGTACCCAGTGTTGGCGAGATTTTCCTTTGTCGCACTCCTTATACAGCCAGATTAATGTTACAAATGTTATAAGGAGTTAGAAAAACAAGCACACAAACATCAAGTCAGTGGAAATCAACACGGTAGTTATCATGATAGTAGAAGTGGTTGAATGATTTTCCTCTGTATGCATAACTCTGGTTTCTCCAACTGAATGGCTACGGCTTCAGCAGTACAAAGGAGACGAATGCGTATAGCCTCTGTAGGTTGTTCTTCACTTTGTAGATCACTTTTAAGGAGGTGTTTTTTGAGATGTAATGACTGGTTTTGGCGAGATTTTCCATTGTCGCACTCCTAATACAGCCAGATTTATGCATACAAAAGAAAATCATCCAACCACTTCTACTATCATGGTAACAACCGTGTAAACTTCTAGTGACTTGATGTTTGTGTGCTTGTCGTTTTAAAACTAATTTTTAGAACTCTTACATAATTCCGTATTTTCCTGAGTTTCTATGTTTATCCTAATCACAAGTCACTCATCAAACTATTCATCTTATTACGTAACTGTATTACTTTTGTTCAACATTGATTTTGTTTCATTTCTTAGAACCATGGGTAGGATGTTCTGAAAGTGACTTTATGCGGACCAGTGTTCATTTGGTAAAAATAGAGCGACAGGCAGTTTTTACTTAGTGGTTTGCAGTTATTCTCTTATAGTCTTCCAGTATTCACGAAAATTGTGAACAGTATATAATGAGCTTCAATATAGTCATTTATATTATCGTTAGACGAAGTTTTGGGTAAGCAGAGAAACTCAGTCAATGAGTTTGTAAAGGTGCATTGATTGAGATGAAATATGATGACAAAAATATTGCGTAAATAAAACAGAACAGTCCCTTCGGATATTCCAGATCACATTAACAAAAATATACATGTCAGTAGTCACCTGATGTTACAAAGGATATTTTTGCTACATGCGTAACACAGGCAAAGCCATTGCTCTTCCTTGTCCAGTATTCTTAGCTGACATGGAAGTGAGTTGGAAAAGAGTTAAGGGTAATGAAACCAAAAAGTGAAATCAGTCCATTAAAACCGTTAAGTATTGATCTAAGTCACTCAAGAGGATGTAGACTGCATGGTCAGGATCTTCGAGACGCTAAATTCTAATAACTGCAGACTACTGGTTAAGTGGGTACACTGCCGGTCGTTTCAGTCCCAAACAAGTGGAAGAGTCATCCGGTGTTTATATCTTTTAGATTTGTTCAGGTCATTACACTTCAATAGATATTACAATGACCAGGGCTGATTTCTACATTTTTACAAGCCCTTAATCGTATCATAGAAATGTATTGCTATATTTTCAAGAATTAACTGCGTTGTATGAAATTTAGCTTTAAGTTACTGTCAAACACTTCAAGACTTTTTTACATAATCGTAGGGCAAAATTCTTTACTTTCTTTTGAGATATGTATAAAGAATCCTGTATGTTCCCTTATAGCGACAGAATATAGGTTAAGCTAATCAACTGTGATTAAATAATCATTTGGAATTAAATGATTTTATTGTTTAAATCCCAGAAATTCAAAAACCCCTGAACTGGCATACATTAGACGTTCAATAAATGATGTCTGTCATAAATGTGGAATAACCAGCTGTTTATTCTTATAAAAACCCATATTCACATATATGTATATAATAGAGGGAGAGAGGTGCCACTCCGATTTACATAACTGCATGCATATGTATTTTGATTACACCGTATTTTTTGGTACAGGTATGGAATTTTCAGCATGTGATATCGGTAGCCCAATTTTGCAGGCTGACCATATATATCAGGTGTGCGTCGGCAGGGGATCGAACCCCGGACCATATGCATGGTCGACGAGAGTCCTAACCACTGTACCACCGACGCACAACACAGTGATACACCCATTGACAGGGTATTGGTTTTCAGGAGAACCAAACACACCCATCCCCGCCTCTTGCGAGACGAGACCGGCATGCAGGATCATCCTGTAGCGCAACCACTCGAGAGCCCACTCCCTCAGTGGACCAGTAGTCTTAAAGCGAATCATAAATAAGCCTCTGACAAAGGCATACAACCAACTTCCGATTGTTTACAGGTTTAATTAGTTTCAACGTTTCAATATTTAAGTGATACTTTCGTTGTTTGTGATATTTGTAAGAAACGTACACATAACTACCACATAGAATGATCTTTCAATGAATTCAGCCAACGGTTAAGCAAACATAAATCATAAACAACATTCAGGTATTAAGTCTCTGACTTTATTTATAACTAAATAAACTTATTCAAAACAAATATATAACCAGAAAATACAATCAGCTATAAACTATTTAATTTGCAAAGTCTAACATTTTATCAACATTAAATTGTCTTCATTCATCTACTCAAAGAAGTACAAAGAAATATGAAGCAGTTGATGGCAAACCTTCTTCAAAGAAAAACAAAAAACTTTACTGATTCAGTTAAGCATACAAAAAAGAAAAAGAAAATAATAAACAAAAACTTATACAATTACATAACTGAAAAGTTTATTCAACTTTATAAATTTATAATTGTGGAAGATTTTTATCTTTCTTTTCCACCAACAATTGAACATCAAAATGTTATTTAAAAGTGCAAACATACACAAAAGTATACACTAGTTTTCACTAGAAATAATAAGCAATATTAACAATAATAAAGGTACAAATAAAAACACAACAATTACAGCACTGAATATACTTAGAACAGTAATAACCAGTAAATCTCGTCTTCTTTGTTTTGTGTTTCAGCTGTTAAATAGGCCCATAAAAAAAAGAAATCAATTTAATTTTAAAAAGATTTCACAAAGAATTTAAGTAGTACATAACAAAGTAGTATATGCTTAGTGAAGTGAAGACAAGAGCAAAATATTCGATAAAGTGAATAAACAAAACAATAACTGTAATTTCATTTTGCTTATGATTTTTATGTATTTATGAGAGGAATTGTCTCAGTGAGACACCACCCCCATCATGGTTAGAAATACAACTTCATGTACTGAAGTAGGTATACATATATATACACATAATGATGTAGAATACAACGACGGGCAACCATGGACACTGAAGCATATCCTCATTGATTTTCACTACGTAAGTTTCTTTTAAAAAAAGAATAAATATCCACTCAGAACAATATAAAATTGTAACGCTGTAAGAAAGAAGAATATGAGAACAATTATTGCTCTACTTTGTTTAAAATTATAGTTTTGTTATGTCTGATATCCGCACATTGGAATATAAGTGAGCAAATTAAAGTTAAGCAAACAAAGAAAAGATATTTGAAACAACAATTTATTGAAGATGCTGAATGAATGAATTTCACTCAAAAATCAAAAAAGACAACAGCCTGCTCATAATGAAGCAGTATAAGATGGTAAAGAGTAGTGATGATGATGATGATACTACTACTGTAATAATAATAATAGTAATAAAGTATCAAATAGCAATGTCATCTGTAATTAATGTTTCTGAGATTCTACAAATTTAGCCAATGAAGGAATATTACGTATTTCATCAGGTCCCAAGCTTTCGATTAGTTGACTGCGATAATGTCCCATTTCACGTTGCATAATTTCTACACACGGACCCATAAGACGTTCAAAACTTGATACATCCAATACTGATAAAATAAAAAGTCAAAAATTAATCAACACTTATTACACAGTATTAAACAGATTATCCTTAGTATATATTATTTGTTAAATATATCAACAACAAAAAAACTTTATTTAAAATTGACAAACTTCTAATGACAAGAAATTTTTCAAGAAAAAGTAAATTTCAATCACTTTAAAATATCATTTTTTGCACTGGCTGTACACTAATTTATTGATACACGATTTCAACTTCTCGCAACATTTCAGGTTACGAGACCATAGGCTCGTTGACCACTCAACCACTTGGGCTGGAACCCAGTGATCTGTGAGTTCTACATTAGTTAATTCATATTTATCGCATTACTGTCAAACAATGTCTTCGACTATCAACCAGTTGATCTCCCGTGGAGTTGTAAATGTGTACCATGGAAGATTTCTAAGCTAGAATGAAACATCTGCCTCGTACTCTTTGGCTTTCAATGTTCTCTAACTGATGCTGATTCGTGATCAAATCTACAATGAAATTATTCCAAATACTTGTTGAAACTAACAATACAAACAAAATATATTTGTCACAAGTTAACACTAGCGATGCCGTTTCATGCAGTTATTTAAATGACCTTAATGAGGTTGACATGTTGATTACACTGTTTTTATGACTGGTGACTTTAATTCCTGTGACTGCTTCTTCCTTATATCACTTGGTCATGACAATATTGTTAACTTTGCTACTCGTCTTGGTAAAACACTGAATCTAGTATTCATTAATGATGTTAGTATATATGACATTTCTCAATGCTTCCTTTTCCAGTAATGTTCTACCTTTTGCATGGAAAAGCATTAAAATTATCCCCATACCAAAACCATCTTCTGGTAGTGATATTAAATTTAGGCATATTGCAATTACTTCTCCTTTCTTAAAATTGATGGAAAAATTACTTTCACGGAGTCTTGAGCCTTCATTGAAGCCTTTTAATGATCCTAAACAATTTGCATATAAACATGGTAGATGTACCTTGGGTGCTTCGGTTGTCTTATATCATAATGTTGTTTCTTGTTTAGACAAAGGTGCCAAATATGTTCGTGGTGCTTTCCTAGACTACACATCTGCTTTTGACTCTGTACCTAGGGGCCTTTTATTAAATAAGCTTTCGTTGACGCAAACAGGATCCTGGGCTAAGAGTTGGTTGCATTCTTATTTTTCTGCTAGAATGCAGTATACTGTATATAATGGCAAATCTTCTGTCTCGCTTACAAAAGCCGGTGTTCCTCAAGGTCCCGTCGTTTCTCCTTTTCTTTTTTCTCTCTTCCTACACGATCTGCCTCATTTAAACGAAACTTACTTTGTCAAATATGTGGATGATCTGACTGTATCAATGCCTATCACTTGCAAGTTTGACTGCTCCAAACTTAATAGCTTTCTGTCGGACATCAGAAAGTGGTCTAGGTCAAACGGTCTTATGTTAAATCCTTCCAAATGTCAGGCAGTTAACTTTACTTTCAAGCATCGACGTGACATACATGAACTAGTTAGTTCCCATGATGCCTGTAGCATAGATGGCACTGAAATTGAAACCAAGTCAAGCATTAAATACCTTGGATTAGTTCTTTCCTCTGACCTTTCATGGTCATCCCACATCTTATCAATCTCTAAGAAAATGTTTCGTCTTACCTTCTACATTAAAAAGTTAAGACAATCAGGTATTAACCAACCTTTATTTCTGCAGTTTTTAAACTCCTGTATTTTACCTATTGTACTCTATTGCTCTCCATTAATCTTTCCTGGGCTTCTCAAAAAAGACTACATCATATTACGAAGGGTATTAAATGCTATGAGTAGGGCTTGTGGTACGACACTGCGTGAGCTCGCCAATATTATAGTCGAGAGACATAAAATCCTGTACAAAATTGACAAAGGCCGTACTGTCAGACCTCCTGCACACCCTTTATTCACAACTATCCCCTTGCGTCTCATCCGGTAGAACGAGAAGTCAATATAAGAAGTTATATGCTCGCACCACTAAGTACAAAAATTCTACAATACCCTATTTAGCCCGTATTTTCTGTGATGAAGATACTGTTAGACGTGAAACATATAAGCTACTATGTAATTAGGAAAGTGAATAGACCCTTTCATCGTTCATCTTTCTGCAATTTTATGGTGTCACCCTTTCTATCATTTAATTATAACTTAGCTATTTTATTTTAGTTGTTATTACTTTTATTACTACAATTTTATACTTTATGCATATTTTTCTCCTTATCGTATACTGTAATTGCTACACAGCCGCTATAACAACGTTTCGTTATTATTATTATTATTATTATGTAGTGTTTATTTTTTTGTCGTTTTGAGTAAATTGGATGCAATATTGTACTGAATGCTGAAAATTCCTTGCTGTATCATTATTACTGTTTTTGGAATCAAGCAAAAATTATTATTATTATTATTAGTTGTAAAGAAACTACGAAATGATATCATCTCGTGAAATTTGTCTTCTAAATGCCATATTCAAATATTATTAAAGAGTTCATATATGCTTGTTTATACAGAAAATAATAAGGTCATGGTAACTATCAGTGTTATCAATTCAAAATGTGATGATAAAGCGTGAACCGCTCTACAACCACTAGTTGTTCGTGAATCTAAATAGCTTATCTGTGTACGTTGAAACAGTCACCTACGTGTGAAAAGAATATACAACTAATATCATAGGAACTATCGTGTATTGAGAACACCAGTTAAAGCAATTTTGAATAAACAGATGATCGTGGATATAATTCACACTATGGCGTATACATGAGAGGAAAAAGTATATTGTCTAAGCCCAACAGAACAGTCACCTTGGTTATTCCAGATTG